ACTGTACTGTTTGTACATTTTTATAGACAAAAGTGAATCTTATATCATTTCTAAATTATCGCTTGTTAAAAACATTTCGTCAGTTCAATATAGAACAATATAAATATACCTAAGAGCTTAAATGTACTTCTTTTATGTGTGTATAATAAATGTTGAATTGTAATCTCTCTGGGATCGACCAAATCATCTTGTTATTTTGTCAAAACTACACATAAAAACGTTGTTCAAGTAGAAAATATGAATAAATATTTTCTCAACAAATCAGAGCAACGACCAAAATATCCCTACAATTTAAGTTGACTTTTTTTGCGGTTGCATTATAATAAAAAATACTATGCGAACTTTTTAGACCTGGTCAAAGTTACAGTAAAGAAAGTCCTTCTTGTGGTAAGATTGAAAGTCTCATGAGCATGTATGTACCAGGCGCACATGAGAGGACTATGGCGCGGGATCATCGGCGAAGGGCACGTCGGGCTGCATGGAGAGCGCGCGCTGCGTGGGCTCATAGCGACCGGCCAAGTAGTAGAGGTCATTATTGTCGTCGGCAGAGCGCGCTTCCGCGGCCATGCGCGCCTGGTACTCCGCCAGCGGCACCACCTCGCACTTGTGTGATATCGTCTGCACGTCATTCTCGTCTGTGTGCGGAGACTCGAACAGACCGCCCTGCAAATAAAACACCCTTATTAAATAACTATCATATAAGGATATCTATTAGAAGTAGCTTGGACAACTTGAGTAATGAAAAGAACAACACAGATCGGGGAACCTAGGGATAATAAGAAAGCTTGCAGCGTACCGGGTACTTGAGCGGACCGCGGCAGCCGACGGTCTCCTCGGGGTGGTAGAACCACTCGACGCGCACAGCCATAGCGCCGCGCGCCTCCCACAGCGCCACTATGCGACCGATGTACGGTCGGTCTGCGCGCCCCGTTGACAGGAACACTGCTGCTTCGCCCACCTGCACATACATCACTCAATCGTCTCACAATTACATACAAATAAGAACTTGGAGGAGATGATAAATGATAGACTTTATTTAACTTTTTCATTTTTTATTAAAATCTAGGAAAAAATGATAAGTAGATGGATTATGCATAGACAATTTAAATATTTTAACCAATTTTTTACCACTGTCCCTCCACTTACCGCTTACGTTTTAGCATCGTTTCAAGAGTACCAGGGCTACATAAGCTTCTAGTATACTCACATGCAGAGTCTCCTCGCCGCGTTGTATGGCGCGGTAGAAGAGCTTGCGGTGACGGGGACGCGCGGTGCGCCGGTAGGCGGGACCGAGCCAGCGCCACAGCGCGCCGCCCGGCAAGAACGCGGCCATCTTGCTCACCCCGGCCCCACCCCCGCCGCCCCCACATGCAGCACCACTGTCCGTCGATGTGGACGACACCGTGCGCTTTTTAGTTTTCTGCAATCCCGGTAATGACACTTGTAGAAAAAAACTAGCAAAAAAAACTAAAAAGTAATTTTTGTTTTGGAAAAATTACCTTTTTAGGTGCATCCATCGAAGTAGACGGCACATCCACTTCCAGTCCAATCCCACTGTCTTTTAGATTGTCTTTAACATCATCGTCTTTTTTCAGAGTAATTTTTCCGAGATTGCTAAAGTCTAAAATTGCGTTCTTTACAAGAGTTTTCTTTGACAAGACTGCTTTCTTAATGACCGTCTTCATTTTGTCGTCGGGAGACTTTTCGACCGCTATCAGAGTGGACAGCCTGTCATTGGAGTCTCCGGAGTCCTCGTTAGATTTAATAGAATCGACATAATCTGTGGAAGACTTTCTCTTGTGGTGATCGTCGCCCGACGAACTGGAATGTTCCTTGCAACTAGAATGATGTCGCTTCTTGTGTTTCCTGTGATGTTTCTTATGATGTCTTCTGTGTTTGCAGTGCTCCTCGCAACACTTGTGTTTCTTCTTTTTCTTCTTTACATATTCGGTGGAGTTTGGATCTTCTTCACTGGAATGGAGACGTTTAAGTTTTTCCTTTCGATGTTTTTTAAGTTTCTTCCTATCTCTGTGTCGATCCTCTTCCTCCGCTTTCTCTTCGGTCACCGTCTGCGGCACGGGTGCCGGTTCAGTTTTAACTTCTGTACTAGTCGATGGGACGACTGCCTTTTTATCTTCTGTAACACTTGTGTTTCTTCTTCGCTTACCGAGTGTAAATAGAGTGTTCTCGTACTCTGAAAGTTATAAATGTAAAGTTAATGCAATACGATATCGCTATTATCGCCGTACTTTGAACGTCGTAAGTTTTGACTCACCAACAATAGGATAGTTGGGTTCGAGGAAGCGTATGTCCTCTAGAGCGATGCGACCGGAGTCGCCGTCGTCAAACTCAACAGGCACGAGGTGGTCGTGGCGCGGGTCGGGGGAGGCAAGCGCCACCGTGCCCGGGTACAGGCAGCGGTACTGCTGCGACCAGTACGCGCACACCCGCGTGCCCGAACCCAGCTCAGACACAGAGCGAGGACTCACTTCCAGAATCTAAAAGTTTGGAGTGGACTACAGTTAGTTAATGCTAATCCCATCAGTCATAAACATGACATGCGTGCTACAACTGTAATTTATCAAATAGAGAAAAAAAATAATATAAAAAAACAGAACTCACAGCATCTCTTAGAGTCTCTTCCCTGGACAAGATGTGGGGCTTGTTGCCTCTCTCCCCGTCCAGCGTGATGGCGTACACGTCAGGCGCCTGCACCGCGCTCAGCTTGCCGGCGTAAAACAGCCCGCCCATGGCGGTCAGCACGCGCGGTGACGAGTCCAGCTTGTCCTCGGTGAGCGTGCACCGCGACACCACTGGCGCCTGCGCACTCTCCTCCTTAGAGCTCTCGCTCGGCCTCTCCTTTGATTTGAGACTCTTTCTCCTCTTCTTCGCGCGACGTCGTTCTTTATCACTTTCGCTGGACGCGCTCACTCTCCGTATCGCCAGCTCTATTTCAGGTAAATCGTCTCTTGAATGTTTTCTGACCAGACGGTCCACTTTTTCCCGGTTCTTCTGTCGCACCTCATTCAGACTCTCCATCGAGGAGCTGGCGGATCTGTTTAAGACCCCGTCCACTTCCTCCTCCTCGGAGTATACTTTAAGTATCGGTTCCGCTTTCAACTTAGGTCGGACTTTGCTCGTTCTGTTGGTTTCGTCTCTAGAAGCTTCTCCTCTACTGCATAAAATACCGCCTTTTAACTTTCCTTTCGCCAAGAGATAGCCAACTAAACTGCTCTTGGATTTCGGTTTCTTGGCGACTATAGTCTCCGTCGAATCCGGACTGGAAACCTTTCTTGGTCTGCCGACCTTACGTTTCTTTGAAGAACCTCTGTCCGAATTAGGGGACAGCGCCGGCGTGGACGGCGTGGGTGGATTGGAGAGCGCCGGGAGAGGCGGCGTCAGGGCGTTCAGTTGCGCTCTCTTCTCGTCGCACTGTCGCTGCAAGTCCTGCAGACGTTCACGCATGTCCTTCTCCATAGCGTTGACGAGAGCTTGGGCGGAGGGCACGGAGGACGAGTGAGTGCAGGTCATCGAGCCGCACGGGCAAGCCGTCACGCGTCTCAGGCTCGCCTCCAACTCTCCGCCGTTACCTTTCCCTCCTTCTCTGTCCTTCTCCCGCTTGTGGCGACGCATCTTTTCCAACTTATGCCTTAACCTATCCTCCCTGTCTCGACTCCTTTTTCTTCTCCTTTCACTCGAAGAATCGTCCCTGTGTCTGTTATGTTTGTCTTTTTTGATCGATTCCGAGGATCTCTCCACCGGCGGGGGACTCAGCAGCGGCTCAGTTTTTATAAAAGGTCGAGTTGGCAATTGGATGGCAGGAGGAGGACTCTCCTCAACTTCCTCCATAAACCTCTGTTCTGCCAGCGCGCATAAAATATCTAAACCATCTAAGGAAGGTTTCGTCCGTTCACCGGCTATAGGTTCGGCAACCGGGAATTCAAATCTCCTGTGCGATTCCGCGTCGGTCCTGGGAGGTGATTTTGGTGAAGTTTTGATCATAATGTTTAACTTGGTCGTCGGCCTCGTATCGATAGTTAGCGGCGTCTGATCTAACGTCGGCAAGCTGATGCCCGGAGTCGTTCTTTCGAACTGCTCAATGCTGTTGGATAATAGCTCGAGGCCGCTGACGTCGACCAGCGGGCCGGCAGGCTGTAACAGTGGGCCTGCGGGCTGCACCGCCAGTACTGGCGAGCTGCCCGCCGTGTCGATCACCAAGTCGTGGGAGCCGCCACTACTCGAGTTGTCCATCGAGTCATCTCTTTCTATCGCATTTATAGCCTTCTCTACTGCTCCTACGACCGTCGAGTTGGCAAGCGCCTCGGAGGAGGACTCCTCTGCGCTGTCTATGGGAGGGGGCTGCAGCTGGTGACCGTGCTCCTGCAGCTGGAGTGACGATGATTCTTCCGGAAAGTGTGCAACTCCCACACACGCCACCTCTCTTTCATCTTCATCGGCGTGATTAGGGGAATCCTCGTAGTCATCTATGTGGTCGGTTTGATTGGAAGCGTCCTTGTGCGCGGGGCCCTCGGCTGCATCGGGGGGCGGAGTGGGGGGCGCGGCGGGCGAGGTGGCCTGGCTCCTGCACGCTTGCTCCGGAAACTCGGGCTGATAGTAGAGATGTGTGAGTATCGGCTGCTGGACCGGCTCCGGCGCGAACGTCGGCGGAGGCTTCTCCTGCGGTGGCTCCGGCTCGATCTTGATGAGTGCGTGCGGTGTGATAAGCGGCTGCATGATGGGTTTGCGCTTGTCCACTGTGTGGGCGGGGTGAGGTTGCGGTGCGGGCGCGGGCGCTAGCGTCACCAGCCGCGTGGAGTGCGTGTGCGTGTGCTGCAGCGTGGCGGTGGAGGCGAGCAGCTCTCCGGGCGCGTGCAGCAGCTGCAGGTGATGCGGCGCGTGCGGAGCAGGCGGTAGCAGCAGCGGCGCTGGCGGGTAGGGCATGCCACCCCACACCACAGTGTGCGGCAAATCGGGCGGCGCCGGCAGTAGTAGCAGCGCGCCCGACGTGGGCTCGCGCACTAGCTGGTAGCCGCCTACCGCACCGACGCCTCCGCCCACACCGCCCACGGAGCCCACGCCAACACCCATGCCGCCCACCATCATGCTCTCCATTGACACTTGAGCTGGAAAACAATCATGAAATAATAAAATAACAAAACCAATTCAGATGTAAACTAATTAAAAAAATAACAAACCGCGACATCAATATCACCAAAACTAGCAACCAACGTGAGAAGTTCCAAGATAATGAATGATTCATTAAGTCCAACTTCATTCAACATGCATGAACGCACTTAATCCCATTACATTAAGGTGCAAATTTGCATAGCGAGTGATGTTTGTGTTCCTGGTAGAGTAGAGAGCGGGCGCATTTGTATGCGGCGCGCGATGCTTCCGGCCGGGACCAGTGTGCTCGCACAGCGGTGGGAATAAAAAAAGCGCCTTTTTGTATAATTCGATTAAATAAACTAATGAAGATCCGTTCCCATAAACGAACCGGTTTAACCGATGTATCCACGAAATAAATTAACATTTAAACGCACGTCTCTTAACTTCTAAATGCCACACTCAGTGTAGATTAAAATGAAAAGTTGTGTTTAAGTACCAGTGAAAATGTACTATCAACTTCTTTACTGAACAAAGTTAATCTATAAATGTAAGTGTTCACAGTTTAATTAAAAACAATTATTCTAAAATAAAGGAATCTTTTTTTATTTAAATTAAGGGCCAATTGAATAACTTTTAATAAATCAACATAAAATAATGCTATAATAATTAACTAAACGATATAAAAACGCTATTTGAATACAATTTAAAATACGATAATCGCTTCTAACGACCGATTCAATTCACTCGAGTGTAATTCCTGGCACGTACGTGAGACAGAGACAGCTGTACATGATGTGTATGTGCGAGACAAGGACGGATAATTGAATTAAAAAGGCGTCTGAAAAGTAAATCGTTTTAATTTGAGGGTCGCAGGAACGCGGCCTGCGCGCTACGCCCTTATAGCAAGCCTTTGTTTATTTATTAATAATAATTTTAACGTAGCCCTGTTAAATTGGCCACTAATATACGATTTTCAGATAGCAAATTCCAAAATCGGAAGATATTCGAATTCTACTAGCTGTCACCCGCGACTCCGTCCACACATCATCATCATCAGCTCACTATAGGTCCCCACCGAGGGGCTCGTTGCCTACCCTATGTTAAGGGTGATTAGGCCATAGTCAACCACACTTGCCAAATGCGGGTTGGTTGACTTCACACATATCTTTGAAGTTATTCTCAGATATGTGCAGCATCACGATGTTTTCCTTCACCGTAAGAACACCGTCTATATGCAATAACAAAAAAAACTCAATTAGCAGTCATTTTATAGAGATTCATGCAGCCGTTCTAGAGATATCTTCTCACAAACATATTACATGCATTTATACATCCAAACAATCGCATTTATAATAGTAAAAAATAAGATTTTGTTCTGTTGATACTCTAAATATAATAATAATAATAAAAGCTTATTTTATTCTTATAAGTTGTTATAGTAACGGCAGTTTGTTTTGACAATAGAAAACTGAGGAATTATTTTTATCGAAATTACGCAAAAGACACAACAAACATTTGAAACCACAAAATAATTACTGTTTTCATCAAATATTTAAACATTAGCCCAGTTATGGATTCAACTACAATCCACAAATAATTTGTGGATTGTAGTTGAATCCATAATATCTGTACAGGGATTTAAATAAAAAACCCTTGTTTGTAGAAAAATGTGTTAATATTGTAGAACATGAATAACAGAAGGACATAGAAAACCTGATTTGACGTTACTAAATTCAAATGTTTCATTTCTTCTTTTTTCTTAGATTTAATGGCTGCTAAAGTGTAAAAACTCCTTGAACAATATCCATATAAAATAATTTAAAAAAAAATATTTACTTTATATTAACAACTTCAAAGCGCACGGTGAACAATCATTTTTTTTTTTAGAAATTTGTTTTTACTCGATAGGTAATGGCGTTGTTCAGCGTCTTTGTTCGTATTATAGATGATTGATGAAAAAAATTTATCGTAAATTGTGCGTTTGAATTAACAATTAGTTTAATTATTCATTGCATATTCTTATCAATATATTATGTTTACAATATTTAGCTCTCAAAATAATATTCACACAATCCTAATACACTTTCATACATTTTGCAGTCTACTAAAGTTACTTTGTTATGTGGTTTTCGCTTACGAAGATATTTTATTTAGGAGAGTAACAGTGAGTTTTTGAGAGCAAAATCTCTGTAAAAAAACATATCGTCATCCTTGTCATTATCTTTGACAAAACAGTGATAACAATGTTTTTAAAGGGTCATTTTGGTCTCAGAAATTCACGGCAATTTAAATATATATTCTTTAAAATAGAAGACGGAATTTTTTTTATCAGTTTTATGTCGTCTTTTTTTATGCTTGCTTAAAGTTTTTTTAAGCGCATACTTTGTACCCAGATAAAACCTTTAAAGCGTGTACATTTGTCTATTTCTTTACAAAGATATGATATTTGTTAGGCAAATTAAACCTAAGAATTTAGTGCAAAAGAGAAACTATAAACAAACTGTGTGTTTAACATTAACATTAATTTTTTTTTAGTAAAAGCGCTTTTATCTATCATGTAGCGTGCGTGAGTCCGCTAAACAAGTCAAATATATTTAATGAACGCTCAATTACTCACTAGTTACAAACAAACTACTAAATCGTGCTTCATTGCATTCTCAAACCGCTACAATTCCTTTTTTTAACATGGCAACTATCGCGTGAGGTGTCAAATTCATAACCGTAAACCGTTAAAAGCGCGAGTAATCGGTAAAAAAAATATTGCAAAAACTAATTCACAACACTAAAATTAAGAGGAGGCCATCCTGCGACCACCTGGGCGCGATTGCCGCGATCTGATTGGTTAAGAGTTCGCGTGGGCGGAGTTAAAAGGGCGGGGCGTAGAAGGCGGGGCGCGTTGAGTAGTGATGCCCACTTGGCCTAAGTTATCGGTAAATGAGTTTTATGATTTTTTTACGGTTTATTTTTTATTTGTGATGACGGATTATTTATGGCAGTTAGACGGCAGCCGGCGTTTGGAAGCCGTTAGTGCTTGAGTGTAGTGCACAGATGACTGATAGGCCGAACACAAACGATAAGTTGAATATTTGTTTAATAATTTGAACCGAGTTACTCCATACTAATTATATATTGTTCATTAATATTTTGATAGTAGTTTGTTCTTCCGATACGTACATTTTACAAGAAACAAGAATTTACACGATTATGTTAAATGATCAAAAATTTGTTAACTTCGAAATTTTATGACTGATATATTTAAATTCCAGGAACTCATCCGAAGCATTGAATTTTGACATCGAAATAAGAAATTTTGAGCAAATTTAATAAATAATAAGACGTATAACGAGAACTTTACAACGACAATAAAGAAAAAAATATGTAATATTATTACGATCATCGGTAAACTTTCTATAAGTTTCCAAAGACACAAAAATAATAGTAAATAAAAAATATATATAACATAAAATATATAAACCTATGTTTATTTGTATGAAAATCAGATAAGAACTACTGAACAAAACTATGACCAAATACTCTATCCGCGCGGAATTAAAAACAGTATATCAAGTAGCCTGTGCTCTTCCAGACTATGTGCTATATCTATACCAAATTTCATCTAGATCTGTGAAGCTGTTCTGAAGACACTTCCTTTTTTATATATTATAAATGGAAAATGAGTAAGCTGCCTCCTGAATTGTCCGTAATAGTGAACACAGCATATACGTTACCTATCTTTAATCGATAGAGGAGGTGACGCATAGAAAGAGAACATATACGAGAAACCGTCCAGATTGCTATTTGCTATTTGGAACAACTTTTTAACATAAACTCTAAAAACTTAAAAAAGGGTAAAAGTTTAAAAGTTCCAATAAAATCTCTTCCTTCTTTATTTGTGAAACCTATTTCTTTGATTAGCGACTTTTTCCACTTCGTTATCATTGTTGACATATTGTTATTCTCCTCATTATCTTTATAAAACACAAATCTTACTAATATTATAAATGAAAAAATAGCCTAGAACACATAGGCTACTTGTTAAGTTTTTTTTACTTCAGACGACAGAGTCGCTGACAACAGCTAGTGATGATATATATTTCAACGAGTATCGCAGCAGTGAAAACTCAGTGTTAATTTAAACTCTAAAATAGGAATAATATAATTACAAACTAACATTAAACTCTTAGCAAAGTTCATGCTATTGTTTCCTTCTATTTAATTTTTAGTACCTTTAAACACTTTTTAGTAACTTTCTTTCCTTTTATTTGTTAGAAAATTTACATTAAACGGTATCTAAAAGGAAAAAAACAAGACGAAACATCGATGTTTCCCATGTAAATAACGCAATGTTAATACAAGAGAACATCAAACATTATTACAGTTAATTAACAGCACAAAGTAACATTGAATAAACGACCGAAACTATGGTCTTTTATTATACTTACAAAAGAATACAGATATCAAGTCAATTAAAAAAATATTAAATATTGTCCAAGTCAAAGTTACGTAGATCAAGAGACCTAGCCGATTAATGGAGGGGGGGGGGGATGGTAATAATGATTTTTTTTTCTCCGTAAAGAATGACATATTAAGACTAGTCCAAAATTACTTAGTTTTAACTTCATATAACTTTTCGGCTAGATGATCAAATTAAAAAAAAACAACCTTCTCTAGTTCTAAACGTGACTTAACGATAGATAAGTAACTGATTGTAATTATAAAAACTTAATTATAAACTGTAGTTATTGTAAACCACAAGTGTACAAAAAAGTTGCGATGTATAGAGCAAGGCCGCTTTGACCAACGGTACATTACCTGCAAAATGTTAGCCGGATTACATTCGGTCTCTACCGCGCTGTACAATGCGGCTCTCATTACATTGGCCAACTAACGTTTTATTCGAATTACCAGCGTATAAAGAACCACCGTTATTGGGCATTAAGTATTTTATGAAGCTCAAATTACAATGGACGTATTCGGAATATTTTAGCACACCAGTGTAATGTGATATCCCGCGCTGTGCCTTTACAAAACGATAAGAGATTTTTTTATGATGGACTGTTTTACAGCCATTGATAAAACCATCACAAGTAAAACTTGTTTTGTTGTTTTTTTTCAGTTTCGTAATTTTTTGTACTTTTTAATTAACTTATTAACATTTTTTTTAGCGCTAACTTAATTTTTATTGATCACGACATTAGCCGTCATATATAACACGTTTTACGTAATAAATTATAAAAACCTACTTATTATTTAACTTACTCCATATTTAATATTCCTTAAGATTGTGTAATCAGTTGGTATTAATTTTTTCTTAAAAGAATCATATTTGATGAAGAAAAGTTACGCTTAGAAAAAAAAACCTTTTTTATTCTGTGTTGAAGAATTAATTTAACACAGGAAAAACAAAGCAGAGAAACAAAAAAGCTGAATTAAAAAAACTAAAAAAAAGCGCGCGAGAGAAGACGTAAGCGGCGAGTTGCAATGCGGGCACCAGAGCGACATGAGCGCGCGGAGGTGCGCGGCGCCGAGCGTGTAGTGTAAAGCGGGGGCGGCGGGGGACGCGGCGGGCGGGCGCCGAGCGTCGGCGGCGCGCACTTGGCGCGCAACTACCAGGCTCGCATGCGTCGGGAGGGGCTCACCTGGGTACTGCCAGAGCGGTGCGGGGGGAGCGGGCGCGGGCGCCGGCCACGCCAGTGGGGCGGGGCGCTCGTCACACAGCACGTTGGCCACGCCCACCGTCATGGCCGCCTGCGCCGCGTCTGCGGTGTGAGAACAGAAACCGAATGACGTGGCGCCTGCAATGTGTCGCACGTGTTACTCACAACTACTACCTCCCCTCTTATGATGTTTTGGTCCTAAAATGTCAATTACAATACAACTTTTGCAAAAAAAATCGCTAATCTTATTTCCAATTCTACAATTATTAGTTAATAAAACATACAGCCAGCTAACAGCTAAGTTAAGCTGCAAGTTAATAAAGCACACATGTTAGGAAAAGCAATACATACCTACAATTATTTATTTTGAAACAAAAACAAACTACTGCAAATTCTTGTTTTACTTAATCTACACAACTATAAACATATATCATCCATCTAACGTCATAAAAAATATATAAAACTGCCAACTCTCGCTAAGCAGACGTAGCCAATACAAAAACATTAGCAGATTTTTGTTAATTTACCAATATTTCTTATACCATTTCAACTAACCTCAAGGCTTCACGGTTTACAAAGTACACACTTAATTTTGAAGTGGTTATAGAATGATGGTAACGTGTAAATTGTCAAGGCTTTATGTTTTCCTTTATGTATAGATTGACCACTAACTAGGTCCAATGTTTTAAGTTTGTCGGATCGCATTGCGTTTGTATAATACAATACGTGAAGAACTAAAGCCCTTAGTGTTAAAAATTCGTAAATTACAAATTATAATTGTAAAATATTTTAGTTTATGAATGAAGTGTAGCATATCGATTTATGTTTAACATTCCAAGCTGCTAGCTTTATTCACACGAAACAACAATCATCTTAAAAGTGCTTTGAAGTGGTTCGAGATGATTCTAGTACGAAAATAAGAGAACTCAGGTCATAAGTTACAAATCAATTGCTTAGAGTTGCAACATCGTCGATTTTTGCAAGAGGTTAGAAATTTTTTGTTCTCTGATAACGCCTATGTCACCGCCATTTTAGATTTTCCATAGTGTAACGTACGCTTCTTCAAAGCATTTAATTTCATACCCTTGTAATACTGCAAACATGTTATCCGCTATTTTGTCGCGGCGGCCATATTTACAATGAAACTGAATAAAAATTCCTTTTTCATTAGAACTAAAGGTGTGTACCAAATTTTAGAAAAATCTGACAACGGGTTTACTTTAGGTAACAAGATATACGAATTTAAGGCTACCTAATCCTAAATACGTTCAATATTGTATGACGTCACTTTTGCCTTTAAAAAAACTATTTACTACAGAAAAAAATCTAATAATAATAGTGTGTAAAATTGACGCGGCAGCAGAAAATGACACAAGAAATATTACGAAAGGAAGCACGTGTAATACCGGCTCATTCTTACATATTGTGTATTGTGCATTTCACGCATCATTCGTCAAAACAATAAAGAGTTAAAAATATTTAACAGGCACCGTGAAATTTGTAGGGAACAAGTAATAAGAAAAAAATACATAACGTTATTTCCTTATTGTTTTCACTAAATATAACGCAAATTAATCCAATTAACGGTTCAAATATTTAACCAATAAAAAAATATGTAAAAGAAAACTAAATTAATATTTAAATTGGTCCGGTCTATCTTCCCGTTATCTATACTCTGTGTCGCGTCGCGTATCATTTGACCTTCACCGCGGCGTCGTCTGTCCGTTGCATTCCGAGCGTGCGCCGTCTCGCTCGCACACGTAGCGGATCGTGACGCGGCGCCTCGATGTAACTCCTACTAGTTTCTGATCGCCTAGTATCACGCGCGCTGAAGAAAAGGGTTTATCCGACGCCAAATGACCACAGATGAGCCCCTAGGATTTTCCAGCCATACTAGTTTTCCGCCAATACAAAATAGAAAAAAGCTATGTATTCATTTTAACAACTAATAAAATCAATTTATTTTAGAGGCAAATAATAAGAAAACAGCTGAAGCTAAGTAGATTTGCATTAGCTTTATTTATTTACTTAACTAATCCATAGTAGTTTTGTTATTTTGATGATAATATAAAATCTAGGTCAAAGATAAAGCGCGATCCTAGAATAGAGTCGCGTCGCTTCGCATGGCGCGACGTAGACTTTGCCGTGTAAATATAGACTCGGCCGGCCCCACGTACGCCAACATTTACTACAGCTGCCCTAGACGACAGTTCTTCTACTATTATCATTATTTTCTGTTCAATTCTCAACTGTTACAGAATTATTTATATTTTATTCTATCACCTTTTAATAATTCACTTTATTAAAACAGTAAATAACATGAGAAATTTGTGATATAAGCTTAGTGTTGAAAACGCGTGAAAGTTTAAGATTTGATTGCGAGTATTAAGTTCGTTTAAATAGAGCTTAAATAATTTATGATATTACTATATGAGAACAACAATAAGCAAATCGATCACTATCTATAATTGTGAGTACACAATACAAACAATGCTGACATGCGCGCGGTAATGGCGCACTCCACAAAACCTATTTTTATGCAAACAAAATATATGGGATAGCAAGATAGCGAACCCTTGTTTAAACACCCCTTACCTAAAAACTTACTTTTTACCTTTTTGAGCAAAATTCGTATTTATGAACATTCTGTTAAAGCTTAAATTCTCTTGATGGAGGAAAGCAGGGGTTTTTAATACATTTCTATGTCAATTTTAAGCGTGCATTTGGCAAATTGAAAAGTATACGCTGGATGCAAACGCTGCGTAAAGTGGTGAACTGCCCACGTAATATATTGTATTATAATTTGTATCGTGCATTTGTAAGTAATGTAATTTTTCAAAAACAAGTTTTGACCGCTAAGTTTTAATCTAGAAACCTTCTATTAAGTCACATATCAATTATATTTTCACCTTGGAAAAAACCAGTTCGATAGTGGTTCGGTGCACAAAAGTATAATTTAGTAGGTATGTTAGTGTGGCGAATAACATTATATGAAGCCACAGTAAAGCAGTACGTCTTAACATTAACGACCGCACGATAGAGAGTGTAACGACGCCAAATTACACACTCCTACGACTTCAAATTACAAACACGCTGGCCATCGTTCAAACGTAGGCTTGACCAATGATACTCTGCCTCTCAGAGAACGTATGCATCTTTGGTTTTGTACATAACTAGTATTTTGAAAGATAATTCTTCAAGACTCGTAAGTAACTAATCAATAAATGATAAAAAATGTTTTATCAGCAAAAAATCTATGTAATTTATAAAATTTTCTGTATGAAAAAAAGTAAACAAACAAAAAACAAAAATAGAAACTCGATAGAACCGTCACGGGCTGTACCAGGGGCGCAGCGCCCGTGAGCGGTGTGCATTCCCTCGGCCCTCGCTAGCCGGGGTCACGCGGCTCGGGGAGAATTTTGTCTTACGCTCTCTTGTTTAGGGTTGACGACATTTTATATAATAATTTTCTTTTATTCTACTCTTATCGACATGTTTTACGCGCAAGTAACAATTAATAAATTTCCCCATTACGCTTTCTCTCTTTCAGCATTGGCTTATAATATTTCTGACACTAGTGTAGCAAAATTACATGCTATACAGGATACAATGTCGAGGGTGTTGTGCAAAAATATAGTACTATGTCATCCGCCATTTTGTTATGACAGACTTTTGGATTGTACAACTTAATTACTTGACACTTAAAAATGATTTACTAAAAGTAGGAATTCACTTAAAAAATATTTGTTTATGTTATGCACAGCCCTATGGGTGTGTAAAGCGCGCCAAATGTTTACAGCGTTTGTGAGCGGGGGCAAAATTGGCGGGACGTGATTAGAAATACTACGACTGCCCACCCCCGGAGCGCAGAGGATTGTTATGTGCGCTATGCGACTGCTAGTCGCTTCTGATACATCAGTCACGCAGTTGCTACGACGGGTACACTAACGCATACTTTTGACGAATAAAATACCGGTGAAGTTTAAGTAGGTATAATACATATATAGGATGTTTAGTTTTTCTTGTAGAATAGTTAAAAATACACCTAATTTTTATTCAGAATAGAAAGTAAGAATTATTTGTTTGCACTCATTCACTATTTTAGGTATAACGTGTACAAAATCCAGCTTCGCTCTGACACCATTTAGATCTCAATCGACGTAACATAATTTATTTTGTAAACTCTTTTATTTTCCAATCAATACAAATTGAGTGAGTTATGTAGAGCCACTTTATGTGTGCTATTAGAATCATTATAGACTCGTCAGTCATCGTCAGATAGCGATATGGTGAATGCTTGTTAACTTTAGCTTACGTATGTGTTCCCGGTTACTGTGGGCGATGTTCAATGTAAAATAAACCTTATTCCGATGGAAATAAGGTACAAATTTGTCTATGTTACATATATTTTTTTATAGAAAAAGCTATAAACGACCATTTCTTTTGGTAAAGGGATTTTTTAAATTACGTTGACTGAAATTTGAGAGTGTTATGCAACATGAAATCTTTACCTCCTCCCATACATCATTTAGTAGCTTGAAATAAACAAGATTGACTGCGTAGGCGATGTGCCAATTAGTTATTTGTCGTTAGACCAACTTTGATACAATGTTGCCTAAAGAATGATATGCGTAAAATATCTTTACAAATATAAACAATGCTATTCCACAAATAAGCATAAGATTACTTAACAGTCCACTGCATCATGCGGGCGGCTATACTATGATAAGATCAGAAATTAAATGTGACCGTGCATTAATACCAGAACCGAAAATCAATAATATGTCGGTGGCAATGGCGACCCTCTTCAATACTTGAACGCAACAATAAACACATAATTATCTCCCCCCAAAGGGAAAATGCATTCTATTGTAAAAGTAGTAGAGCTGACATTCAAGTACCAGGGTATTATGAATTAGAGAAGCATTCAATGTTGTTTAATTACAATGTGTCGTATGTCGTATGACGGCGCAAGCGAATATATCTACTGTTCTTTGCACAATAATGATGATTATCACGTGCGATGCTCAAAGGAAATAACGTAAGAATAGAAGATAATAAAAGCCGCAGCAAGTGTGGTCGAAATATTTGGGGGATTTCTGATGTCAGAGATGTAATTGCTTTGTTCAGTATCGACTGAGTACCGAGAGAAAATAATAATAACTGTTTCATTTTGGCCTTAATTACACAAATACCTACGTTACATACGTATAATATTGGGTTTATCTTAATTTTTAAACAAAAAATAAGTGGGATGACAACATGTTTTTAAATGTTAATACTACACATTTGTAACATTTTTTTACCAAAAAAAGAAAAAAACTTTGAAGAAACAAAACTTTTGTAATAGGGAAACATAAATTTACCGCGTTATAAATCCATTCGCTTGACTACTGGAAAGTTTGCATGTCTGTACATCATCAAGTTGTACCAGGCACGCAGCAGGTGACTTTAAAAAAACCGTTAAAAAACAATCCGAAGCGCGGTAAAAAGCGCGCGCGATATGAAAATTCATGGCGGCGTAAATTGCCATCGCGAGGTCTAATCAACGTCATTATACTGATTAGTGCGTAATTAAACACTGCAACTGCTTTCCATTTTGTATTATTCCGAATTTTGTGTGTAAATTGATTTCGAATTCATTGTTGACATACGACTACAAAATTTCTGACTGCTGTTTGCGATCTGAAATATATCAGTATTTAATATTTACAAATTAGTAAACGTCAAGTTTGTCAGATTAAAAAAAAAACAATAACTAATGTGCCACTTCCAATTTGTGGCTAAAAACGAGCGTTGTTACCGAATGCTTTTTGCTGGCACAAAGCATTCGCTTATTGAGTTCGTTAGTCGCTTCGTTAGTGAGTTTGGAAACAAAATCAATTTTTAGTTCTTAATTTCCAAATCCTATAACATAGTGAATTATAGATATATGTTTTTAATTAATTCGAGGGGAGATCGTACATAAATTGAATTTTATTTAAAACAAGTTTTATGTTCACTTTATAATTGTTTTACAGTCGGCAGGTGCATCCAGGTTATCGAGTATTGTAAAATTACAAGACATCGTTTGCGATTCGCGATAAATGTATTATGTTCTCAAATTACTGTAAAATGCAAAACTTTATAAAACCCATTCATATTTGACTAATGTAGTAATAATTCACTAAAATGTGAGAATCGAAATCATTCAAGACTGTTTATATTTCTACAATTTCATTTATTTGCTGCATTCATTCAAGCCCCTCGCTTACATGGAATAGTTTTCCAGTCACGTTGGACGTTGTTTAATAATTCCGATCAGATAAGTCGCGAAACTAGTTGTCATGTGTAACAAAACTGGTTTCCTTATGTACTTAAAATTTATAAATTAATGTAGTTTATGTTAAAAAAATATTTACAAAGTTGGTCAAGTTGTTTTCTTCAATGCCAATCATTCGAATATAGACTTTATTTTGTACGCAACAAAACTCAAATTATGTCTGTTTATGTATGGAAGATTTACGTTTTACAAGTTAACGGACTCGTAGTAAATACATGATAGTACTAGGCTAGCAGATACGAAAGGAGATATTCAATTGAAACCCAGACGTTCTTGCGAGCGAGACAGCGGTTTAAAAACAAATTGAATGCGCATACATTTACATTTCTTATGTTTCTGCACATGGAATATGTTTGTGTGAATCAGAAACACACACACACACACATATATGTAAATGTATGGATGTGGGCGAGGCGAGAGGTGTACACTGTATTGGAATCTATAAACTCTGCCTATACCGCTTAGTTACGGTCGTGAGTTATTTTTTACAACTAAATGTAAATTACATAATATTATTTTATCGGAAATCACTTTAAAAAAGGTTGAAATAATTGAGAAACAAGGTCTTAACCTCAGCTTACTATATAATATTGTAGAATTGGAAATATATTATGCAAAATAACATAGAAAATAAATTAAACTTTTGTAAAATAACTCACCAATGTCATGTAATCGCTGGTTGTCTTTCTGCGAGAGCGCGGCCAGTAGGCCTGCGTCGCCCACGCGCTGCCGCGCCACCGCTATGCCCACGGGAATCGAACCTGTCACGAACACTAGGCGATTTATTCATCTGGCTAGAGTTACTTACTTGACTACCACATAACATTCGAAACTAACCAAAAACGACCAGGCAATCAATACCAGTTCAATAGCTACAATTCACTAGGAAGTCATAAATGTTATGTTCTATTTCAACTCAAACAGTGCAATAGTGCCATCGTCAATGCAAAACAGCCATAGTAGTAATTTAATAATGTGTAAACTGAGAACTAAATAAACTTTTTCATATGACATAAATAATTTTTGAAATGCGTATTAAAATTTAAAATATTAAAATCACATTACACCTGCTTTTAAAAAACAAGTTTTATTAATCCATACTTTTGTTACGCCTACGTCCGACTCTTGTGATTACGTATTATTACTGCGCCACAATCACCAGGCGAACATAAACATACGCGTCGTATGTGTAATGATGTAGTAGGTACATGGTATTACCGTTGTTGAGCGAGGCGGGTATGGCGGGCATGGGCTGGTCGGGCTTGGTGCCGGGCGAGGCCTGCTCCAGCTTGACGGCGACCAGCTCCGACATATGCATGTGGTGCGGCTCGCGCTTCACCTGCACGTGCACGTTCTGCCCAACGCCCAGCCACGTGACCGGGTTGGTGCGGCTGCACCCGCCTTCCGCTTGCACCACCTAAATACACCGCTCGCTGTTTATGTCGCCCTGGTACTCGAGTTGCGACTTGTTTACATAACTTTTCCGTTGTACGTTTCGACCAAGTACTACGCAATTCGATACGGGTAAATTCATTTTAATTAACAATGTCATTGATAACCTTTAATCGCCTTGTATATGTTACATTAATTAAATTACCAAAGTTCGTTTTATGTTCTACTTATAAAAAGATTTTGTTTACAATTCAAAAATAAACTATTAAAATTATTGAAATTGATGTTTTCTAGACATATCTATAAAATAAACAGTTTAAAAGGTAAGTAACCCAACCAACCTTTTTAGGTGAGTTGGTGAGGCAAGTATTGCAGGTGCGTTTGGCCTGCTCAGTTTTGATGGTGAGCGGCTGCATGACGTGGCCGTCCGACCGGTCACCAGGGCAGCAGAGCTCCGGCAGGCACGCCTTGCCCAGCTTGCCATCTTCCATCTTGTTGCCCTCCCTATACACACAAAAGGGTTAACAATTAGTCCAGTTATACAGAGCCTAGTACTTACGTGTACAGGATACAGGTATTTTGAAGGTTGGTCGGTTGTTTATATTTATTTTTAAATATAGGTACTGTAGTGTATGCATAAACGTGGGTGTTGTTTGTCTCGAGCGTACACGCCATAAGTACATGCCGGAGAGAGGGGACGTCAGTCGATGTCAGACCTTTGAGCCGGCAACACGTGTCGGTACGTGAACGAGCCAAATATAGCACAACGAATGCTACATTGGCGACGAGGATAAAACCGTGAGTACGGAAATAAATTGTATTTGAAAAAAAAAAGGAAAGAGAAGACCAGTGTGTAAAAAAAATAACATTTCAGTAATTGATGTGCGAAAGTATTGTTTAAATTATTTTGCCTTACCTTACAAAAAAAAAAATTAAAGTAGTAGGTAATGGATTGCCAAAAATAGCAACAGTCTTCTCTGTTTACATATGATTTGTAAAACGTGGCCTTAAGTTGTTCCCAGCCGTGAATGTTTTAAAAACGGTTCGGAATGTAAACTTAACCAATTGAATATCGAGATAAGATCACAATATTTGACTATCAGAGAAACAGATTCATTGCTGTGCTCGTCCGTCTAAGTTGTTCACTACAAAGTGCACTACGATGTCACATCGAAATACATGTGCAAGCGACAAATTAATTCCGGTCTATTGATGAAGCAGGAAATGAATAATGATTAAGAAAAGAAAATATCGAACATTTACAATGATAAAATAAACATTACTTTACTACGAGGGTAGTATATCCACGACATATACATATATTGTCATGATTTCGACCAAAAACAATAATCAAATGCATTTTTAAGACTGTCTTCGACCTATGGTTGACAAATAGTATGTAGATGGATAATAGCATTCGGCGATGTTAATCTCGGTCAACCTTATGTTTATACATAACTTCAATAACATAGGTACAGTCACCTCCAATAAAGTGTAAGTACTTTCGCACTTTCGCTTTCAACTTCCGCACGAACAGCGGCGGTTGTATAGACGAGATAAAGCGACGAATGGCAATCACTAGGTCAGCGATGGAGAAATTGCAAAGAATGCAAAGAAAAAAAGAACTCGGCTTGTACGATCGCTTGTACTCTCCATATTCCATTATGCGTCCAAAACGGGATCCTACGAGAGTGAGAAAAAGAAGATAGACGCGCTCGAGATGTGGTGCTGGAGAAGAATGCTGAAGATACCTTGGACCACCAATGTACTAAAAAGGCAGCGACTAGGTGGCGTCTGGTAAAGTAGATCATTGATACTTGATGACCATGACCAATCTGACAAAACTGTAACGACGAAGAAGAAAAACTTTCGCACTTGTCTACAGAGTATAGCTGACCATTAAATTGGTTAAATCATTGATGTCTTGCAAATATAAAAGAACCACGGCTGACTATTAAATTGGTTAGATCATTGAAGTGTTACAGGTATAAAAGCACTACGGCTGACCATTAAATTGGTTGGATGATTCATGTCTTACAAGTATGAAAACTGCATAGCTGACCATTAAATTGGTTAGATCATTCATGTCTTACAGACATAAAAGCACTACGGCTGACCATTAAATTGGTTAGATGATTCATGTCTTGCAAACATGAAAGCTGCATAGCGGACCATTAAATTGGTTAGATCAGTCATGTCTTACAGACGTGAAAGCAGCACGGCTGACCATTAAATTGGTTAGATCATCTAATCGTTAAATCGATAAGTTCATTTACAGCCTGAAAAGTTGTCAAGTATATATAAATTAAGAAGATTGAAACCCTGATCGATAAATTGATATTACTAGTGGTAAGAAGTTTGAAGCTAAAATTTGTGTGAGGCAAACTGTTAACTAAATTAAGGTGAGAGGTATCTAAATTAAGGTGAGAGGAAATACATTATCTACAATAAAATCAAAATAATGACTATTAATCAACTATATGCCTACAGTACATGTTTTATAATTAGAAAAATCATCAACAAAACAAATCATCAATAACATGTCGTTTGTAAAGTTACAGATTAATAAGCGCAGCACTCAGCGAGCAAGTCTAATTGTTGTGCCGAAAGTGAGTGGAAAGAGATATATGTATAACAAACGAAGGAGTACAGCTTCATAAGTTGTTACTGTCATCTTTATAAATGTAAGTTCAGTTAATCAATTTAAATCTAAGCTACCTGAATACATTTTAGATTTTGTAAAAAAGTAAAGTAAATTTAAGTCAAATCAATGGCGACTATATTATGTACATTGTACGATATTGTTTTCAAGTAAGTGACTATTCCTTTGTCTTTTTGAGAAGTAATTCTTTTAACCCTGTTATAAGCACCTTACTACAAAATACGTAGTACAAAATGATATAAAATGTGATTGACTATTAGTCACGTTTTGTTTTGAATATTTACAATGTGTATAACGCAATTTCTAATATTATATTGCCAGTTACTAGTCATCATAATTGGCTTTATTAACGAATCCTTGGCTAATGCTGGATTGGTGAAGTTTCCAGAGATACTATTAACTACGAGTATATGTAAGTTCAAATCTCGTGATGTACTGTGCACTAAACGAATTTCGATTCAATAATTGTGAAACAGATAAGTAGTTTCCGCTTCCGGCGATAGATGACTCTGTATTTAAAATACATCTGAAATTGATTTTATTGCTCTAATTTGGTAAAAATAAGAGCGGAAACGTGTTTTTCATTGATAATGACATGCTACAGTTGCCGTAAAATAGAATAAATAAAGGTTAATGTTTTCTTTCTGAAATAGCTTTATTTATAGCATAATTATTGGACCAAGTCATGCAGGAATTCATTGTAAAAGTCGCTGTTTGGGCAGCTCCTCGCTGAGGACACACTGATCGCAGTCGGGGTATGTTGAAGCTGGATTTTGTTATCAATAACCCGCACAAATTGGTGAGTCAACTTGAATTAAGTTTTAACGGCTTTAAACTCAATTTAGGGAGTAGAAATACCGATTTATGAAATATTGAACCAAAATCGCACTATCGACTTATTAAAACGACTTTAGCACACCGCCTAAAAGTGTGTTAAAAATCAGAGAGATCTTGTTGACATATAATTTTACTTTTAAATGGCATTCCATTTGGATTATTATGAGCTAAAAAAAACGATTGTGGAATAAATTGCTATCGCTTAGTTCTACTAACTTAACTATTTTCATACATAATAGCTACTGTTTGATTGTAAATAACATTAGAGAATAAACGGCAATGACAAGTTCATTTGCTGACCTGTGAAAAGAAGGGACAAAGAGTTTGTCTCTTTATGTTTATTTATGTTACGCTTATATTGAAAAAGTCTTTTACTATGTTCAGAGTAGTCATTAGCAATTCATTGTTACATATAGGTTGAACATCTGATAAATTGAAAATTGATAGTGGCATTTAAATATTGTCCATCAAGTTAAATATAAAGTTCAACATAATTAAATACCGTCAGTGACTCTGTGTTGTGGGTTGAAAGATCTCAAATAAGCTGGGAAATAAATTTGGTAATTAAACATAAAAAAGGTATAAGTCTTGACTTTTGAAACCTTCATTCAATAGAAAATATAACATCTTTGAAGGAGAAGAAACATTAAATTGTTAACATAGTAAGTTAGTCAATTTTCTTTTTCTGGTACATAACCTGAAAATGACTACTCCATAATATAGGGACAGAACATTCTTATTGATGCGTGGGTGGCTTCATCTGTCTGTCTGTCTATCTGACCTTCTTTCAAGCGGAAACTGCTGGGCCAATTTGAATGAGGTTTGGTACATTGATGGACAGGAGCCTGGGACCATTGTCATGGACTGATTTTGATGTATTGGAATATGTGAATTTTATGCGAGTATTTTGTGGGTTTAATATGTTTCAGTATAAAACTTAGTAATATTAAGTGATTAGCCTAAGTGATTGAAATGCTATCCAAGTCAGTATTTCGTGCGAGCGAAGTCGCGGGCACAGTTACATCAGTTACAGCTTTTGGTGTTCCAACGAACTAGTACTGTGTCTACAGTGCATAACATTCATAGTAGAGAGTAAAATTTTATTGTTACTACTAGCGTAAATTATCACGCCTAGGATACATTCAAACTGTTAAGTACTTTTAAGTACTGTTAATTATTAAACATATCTTTTTAGCAAAATATTTGGCTTCGACATTAATAATTTACACAAAGATAACAAAGTAAGCGTCAATTAAAATCCTGCTTCCCATACGGTAGAGACAGGTATTGATGGCGATATTGAAGTTCGGAATATTTTAACGTGACAAATGCCAAGACGAAAATAAGTTTATTTAAAATGAATTGAGGGACACTGGCGCGTTCTAAATAACAAATGGAAGGAAGTAGAGCATATATGGAAGGAAGAAATAATGGAAACATGGAAGATAAGTATAGGATGGTAACAAATATCTATGCAGTTGTTGTGAAAATAATTATTAAGTGAATTTATAGAAAATTGTTATTGAATCCAAGTTTATTAAACTTACAAAATGGATATACATGTAGAAGTGTAGAGAAACTTAGAAAATCGAATTTTATGTATACTTGTATTCTATTAATTGATAGTTTTAGAATACAAGTACCTATACTTAGCAAGATTAAATAAAGTAAAAAAAGGAAGGGATGTAGTGTATGCATAAACGTGGGTGTTGTTTGTCTCGAGCGTACACGCCATAAGTACATGCCGGAGAGAGGGGACGTCAGTCGATGTCAGACCTTTGAGCCGGCAACACGTGTCGGTACGTGAACGAGCCAAATATAGCACAACGAATGCTACAGGTACAATAAACAGTTCAGTTATTTACATTATAGGTAAATCTAAAAATAATAACACTCAACCACGATATAACGAATGCGGGGTATTTCCATGAAACCGTTGAATAAAGTCTATATTCGTGCAGGAAAAAACAACTGTTAATAAAATTGCGTATATCATTGAAATTCTTCTTTTATCGTTGGTTTCTAAGAACAAAATCCCGGTTAAAAACGTATATCTGTTTTGTCAACGATGAAAGGGATGACGCTGTGTACAAAGATATTGGTCTTAGTATCTATCTAATATTAGTATTATAGTAGTAATAGTTATCTTAGATAGATATCTAGATTCATATTAGACTAGGACCACACGACGTAAGTTACATGCCGTTAATTGCCAGTATCAGATAGCCTTAAGGAATTATAATCGCAGGCGCCGGTGTCCATATTCTTAGAAGGCTTGCGAAGTTTGTTGACGTAGTGTTTTTTGATACAACGACAAACAATGGTACGATAGTAACTTTATACAGGTTATAACAATGGACTTGAAGATGTAATGTATTTGATTTGACCCTACCGCTACGTCATGATATTTATTTGCTAAAAGTATGATACCAATCAAGATCGCCGTTGGTAAATTACTGTTAATTTACGTAGTACGTTCCACCGGCAAATCACAAACAACGCCAGTTGCTTAGGCAAATTACAAATTGAAGAATTTCGTGTTTGCGCCATTTATGAAGGTATATACTGACTTGTCAATAAGTAGCCGCTGCGAACAGGCGAGCAGGTCGAGAGGCAGCGGGGAGTATGGCGAGTGCGGCGGTGGCGTGGGCGCGCCCAGCGCCAGCGACCGGGACACCACGCTCTCCGACACTGCACAATACAAAACTTATAATTAATACTTGAGTTGCTTATGGCCTAGGAGCGTACAATGGCGAGAGAACAGTCGGTATTAGGACATTATCAGTAAGTAGTAGTTTTTTTTTGCGCTCAGGAGCAAACAGCGCGCCTCGCAAGACACGATCCAGCATTTGAAGTCCCGGACGATACCGGGCACCGTATTAGCGTTCGTAACTTCGAGCGTTAGTTTTGTTTTACATATTCCTAAATAAATATCGTGTAAACCTTACACTTCGGCAAGTTTAGTCGTGTAACTTACTCCTTGATGGATTGGGATCAAATGTACCTAATAAAATCTTGGAGAACAGTGTGTCATATCAGGTTATCTTGTAAATGTCTCTTGACATGACACTCACATCTTGTCTTGAATATCTTGGATGGTCTAAAACCATCTTTCATTAGTTATGAGAAACACAACAGTTGTACGTTCGTCGTCGGATAATCATTTCGTACGATGTCGCGCAGTGACGTCACCTTAGGGCTGGCTCCTACCGTTGAGACATAAATAGACGCAATCCCCGGGCAACGCGCGACGTAAGCAAGTTACTTTGTAATCATAATATATTTACGAAACCTTCATTGAATTCCTTATTTGTTTACAGTACCGTTTAATGGTCATTAAATGTGTCCCTGAGTTAAGATTCAGTATCAGAATGTACATTATGAGACTGTTTTAATAATTGTTAAATTACTTATTTCAACAATTAGCAGTAAAATATTAACTTAATTCCATTTCGACATATTTCTGACTTTAGTTTTTCAAAGTAAGGCATAATAATAGGTGACAATACAAGTGGTTCAACAGTCTGAACCCACAATTAAAAATATTAACTTTAATAATCTTGATACTTGTATCAATAAGCTGAATGTAGTCATTAAAATGATTACCACTAAGAGATAATCAGAGGGTACTTTGAAGTGTTGATTAGTGCAGAGGTACTCAGCTGAGGGTTGTCCCCTCCGCCCTTGTTATCGATTGAGGCGTTGCGAGGGGGTAAATGCAGATGTGTTAGTATGGTCACTTACAATCAATAACCAATATACTATCGCACTCAGAGTTAAATGGTCGCTAAGATATCTTATTGTAGATTTACTGTTAATATATACTAAGTTGCTGTGTAATTGGGTTTTGAAGCGCCAATAGCTTTATGGTTTAAGATACGGATTTCCGAACGTGTGGTCGAGAGTTCCAATCCATTCGTGTATTGTAAGCCATAACCTAGCACATTTCTACGGCTTAGTTGGGATGGTATAAGTAATATTGTTATAGTAAATTAGCCAAAATCTGCTAAAGCTTCAGTAAAAAGCACTAAATAACTCAGAGACCAGCAGCATCGTACGGTTAAAGTGTTTACTAAGTACTAAGAAAGTAATTTTAGGATGTTAACTTAAGAGTCTTATCATTTTAGTCGGGAAGCGTTAAAGATTTTTATAAGAAATAATATAATTTGCTACGCAAACTGTCCTGTTTAACAATTAGAGCATATAAAATCAGTAAATGAACACAAAACTGTCTGCGAATTAATAACTTTTTACTGATCAAAAGGTTGTGGGACAGATGGAGCTGTGTGCACACGGCTTGTAATGACAAAGCTGCTGTCGGCCACGCGTACCGCCTCCGCCTAGCTGCTCACAGATCAAAGGGATATGTTACCAGCGTGTTATGCTCGCCTGGTATACAGAATCCTATCCTTATTATTTCTGTCTGTCGTGTTGTTTAGTTATAGAAGAAAAAAAAACTCATGTATTTCTGGAGCTTTTACCCTTGTGTGATTTATAAAGCTTTTAAAGAGAGTAAATAAATTTCAATCGGGAGTAAACAAAAAAAATCAATCAAATAAATAAAATAATTAAAAACAAAACCTCTTTTTCGAAATTCAAAATAGGAACCTTTTCATTCAAACGATTATCACTTGTTACACATGTTTTCGAGATATAAAGGCGTTATATCATCCATGTTCCATGTCTAACAGGCACAGAGAACAAGTAGGTAGAGAATGTCGTGCAAACATCTCCCGCTCCCTCACAGCCCAGAGGCGATGCCGGTAAATCTAATGCAACCAAAATTAAGGGGTCGCTAGGAATTTAATCCAAGCATTTTAATGTGCACTCGCCTTAATATGTTGTTACGTAAGCGTTCATGTTATCTACATTTATGAATAAAACTATTTTTTGTGTTACCATACAAATCAATAATTGCTCCTTTAGAATGATTCGAAAAACGACAAACGTAAAATCTTCCACTCTTTCACGCAATCCAGCCATTTTTTCCTAGACCTATGTTTACCGATGTATTTCCCCGACTCCTCCATATTTGAAGCAAGCAAACATCAAGATTGAGTATTGATTTGCAAACCCTTATCTTACATTTTACGTTCATGGTGGGCTATGTTCATATTTCGGATGCAATCTGTTCACGGCTGTCGCTCAGGGCGGTGGCAGGCGTCACAATGTAACCCGGTTAAGCGGAACGTTATTCGGTTATCATTTTATTTGATTTCGACGCGACGTTACTTCTTATTGTTTACGCCCGGAGATATTAATTGTTTAATATCGTCGGATTATAACATGGCTTTACGATTACAAACTCAGTTTAAAAAGTTAAGTTAATTTACAAGAAAGGTTACAATTATGTGTAACCATAATAGTACAATAAAATGTGTGAGCTAAGTGGGAGGTCGAAGGAAAAATATTTAACATATTTTTTTTACTTGAATAACTTATGTAATTTGTACAGTGCAACCAAAACTGTATGAATCCTATATCCGTTGGGAGTGATGGACGAACAATGAGCCCGCATACACTCCGACACTCAAACTCCTTGTCGATGCTGCGTCCCTAGTCATATTATATTTATACATTACGTCACGGCCGAAATAAAAAAATATTCGTTCCTTGAGGTCGTCCAGAAAATTATTTTAAATTCCTTATACAGAACAACAATTATTACAATGATGTTCTATACGAAACAAATCGATCAACAGTGTTAATTAAAAATACTATTGATAAGCAAATTTTGATCGAATAATGGTTCCGGTCTATGGGAAATTCTTAGTTGGCTATAAGTTATGTCTGTCGTCCATTAATGGTTGTTTACACCTTTAGCATTGGAATCTTCGCGTAAAAACTAAATAGTAAATAGACTAGTGTTAGCTAAATTGATAAAAAAGTACTGACCTTTGTGCACGGTTTGTCTGCTTGTTTGCGTGGGGAACAGCGAGTACAGCGGGAACCTGCTTACACCTGCTGATCATAATACGGTTATTGCACTCAAATTATGTTCGGGAAAATAACTTTCTTAGAAATTTTCATGCAAAACTACAAAAAATGTTGAAACTATTTGGAAAAAAAAACATTGCTTATCGATTTATGATGGTAGGACGGAATGGATCGAAAATATTGATTAATTATTAATGATTGTAAATGTCGAATCCGTTAATAGCCAAGTTAAAAAACAAATAACAAACATGCCCAAATTAAGTCATTTAACATCGGACTTTAATAATAATAGTAAATAAAAAAATGGGAGTTTAAAATTGGAAAGTTCAGAGAGGGCGTTCATATTACATAAGTTAGGTGAGTACCAGGATATCATACCTTGCTGGAGGTCAGCGGGCGGGCGGGAGCGGGCGCCCCCCGCCGCCCCGCCCAGCATCGCCCCCCGCGTGGGCCCACCTCACCGTCTGCGGACAAACACAACACCATTTAATATTCACATTTACATAACAGAAATGATATTAATCTCCAATCGTGCAACTACACAAATTAAATACGTGTTTGAAACAATTCAAACATCAACATCTATCGATTACAGATATTTCTACTAATTCTCTCCATTCTTCGTTGTTCTAGCGAAAATTTAAAAAACATACCCAAGCCTGCCCCCCTGTCGTTCATCTGGTTTGATGACGAAAACGTAAGAAGTCAATTCAATCACAAGTGAAGTTAACATTTTAACATAACTTAAAGGTAACTTGTCTCTTACATTCCCTAGAAGTACGAAAGGTAGGTTGGAGTCAAATTACAAAGCGCAGCTTATCAGCCTCTACAAGCAAATGCTTTTAGTCCGAGCGCAATATTTCCTTCAATCAATGCATTGCTCACGGCGCGTACACTGCGCTTGTATATTGAAAAGCATTTTAATATTACTTCTCTATTAAAAAAAGCTATCATTAATATCTGTTTTCCAACTAATATCTTTCTCATTTTTTGAGTAATTCCACTTTGAGTTGATAAACGATAATATGGTATTCCCAACAACCTTCAATATTAAAAAAGGAATTATATGTTTTTTTCTAATAATTAAATTCGTTTCAAGGTACAAGGGCATCATAAAATATGTTAGTTAAAACATGAAATAATATAATTAAGGTGTCATAATAAAGAACGTAACTATTTCCAAATCCAAAATTATCGTAATACTTAAACGTTGATTATTTAGACTAATTATATGAAATGATAGCGTAGGTGTGATATAGCACGGTGAGGTAAGCAGCTACGCAAAGGTCAAGCTGTTATATTTCACTTCGTTACGATTAGCGTTTAAATGACTTGGTAAAATCCAATAACCTTTTAGACGTACCTATCAAAAAACATATGGGCCTCAGCCCTATGGTTTAAACACATTCTTATACAACACACAACACGAATTCAACTCTATCTGTTAAGCTATAAAGTTTAGAATTGAATAAAATGGATGTTCGATACGTGTTTAAACGTAGGCGGTTCATCGGAACAGACAGACAGACGAAAAAAAAGCTTATATTGTTCCGCGTGCTATTAACGAGTGAGAGATGTTAAGAATAAATTACGTTAACCCATTTCAAAAGTTTTTAGGGCTCGAGTTGTAAACGGGATTAGAGCCTTCGGGGAATTTCGATGGCGGACTCAAATCACAAATGAATACGAAAAAGATATAGAGTTTACTTATTTAAAGCTTTGATTGTTAGCCAGAGTTTGATGTGAAGTTTGATTGAAATGCTGTTTAAAATTGTATAATCCAGAGAATTACATTTAAATGTCATATTTACATACGTAAAATGTTACACTAGCAGTTGTCCGCGTCTTCTTCCGCGCAAAAAAAAATCTTACTAATAATTACAAATATGAGTGTTTGGATGGATAGATGTTTGTTAGAAGGTTACGTTTACTAAATTAAGTTTTTTTTTTGCGCGAACGGAGTCGCGATTGACAGAGACGCGGACCTCTGCGAGTTAAACATCCATTGTAATTCTGTCGTTAACGTGAATTTGTTCATAATAAACAGTAAAATTGTATGCGAATTGCTGATAGAAAGTCATGTTTTTATTTTAAATGGAAATCTTGTTATTTTTGCATTTGTTTATTCATAAAATAGTATTGTTTGGGAAACAATGGACGATGTGAAATGATTTTACTTTGTTGCGCTTTGTATAGGATTTGCTACACAATAAATAATGCTTTTCATACATTTTATTATATACATCTTACATAACGTAATAGCTGTCGCCCTCGACTCTGTCCGCGCAGAATTAAAAAAAAACATCATAAATAGTTTATGTGTTATTCCAGACTATTTTTTTATATCATAAGGTGGTAAACGAGCGAGCGGCCACCTGAAACCGTTAAAATAGCGAAGTGACCGTTGCCCATAGACATACGCAATGGCATATGCGTTGCCTACCTTTTATCGATGAAGGAGATGATGTACAGAAAGAAAATATCTTTCCTTCCCATGCATCCTCTCATCCGGAAAGTCCACTTCCACTTCCTATCCTTTCCTTATAAGAAAAAGGGTGGGAAGGGAAAGAGGACTAAATTAGGCATCCGGTACGTAAACTCATCAGACGAAACGCGGAATTGCTTCCACTTGACGCCTGTCTTCTGTGTGGTCGTGGTATTTCACCGGGCGAGCCGGGACAATTCGTGCGAAGATGTTAAAGCGGGCTCTACCACTATGTTTTATATGTATAACAAATTTAATCGAGATCCGTTCAGCCGTTCTGGAGATACCATCAAACATCCATCCATCCATCTAATAAACAATCGTATTTATAGTCATAAAAAGTCATAATGCACTCGCTTGGTTCCTTGTTGCTTTATATATAGAGATAATTTACACTTTTAAGGTCGTTTAATTTATTTGTTTAGAAAACGTACTTCTTCAAAAAAATAAATTATTCCTATGTTAAAAACATTATAAGAATCAAGACACATAATATATTTTATCCTGCAAATCGATAAGTGATTTCCTAATATAGCGCACAAAATGCAAAATATTTTAGCGATACTAGTTCCGGCACGCGACACCCCTCGATATTGCATGTCTGTTACTACTCCAGGAACTTTTATTTGTATCATAAAATACTTATGATATATACATAAGGTATAGTTAACCCAGATGTTGTGACAATATAATAAAGTGTATGGAAACTAAAATAATATTAACATGTGTTTCCACTGCGCGAAGTACATCTATAAGACAGGATTAGGACAACTACGTAAATTGTACAAGATTTAAAATTAATAATTACGAATTATTTTAAAACTAAAACAAGTTTTCCTTTAAATTAAATGTGACATCGAAATACAAAAAGAAAAAAACTATTCATTGATAAAGTTTTCTGCGCAAAAACTTGTAGCGCGATAAAAGTTGCGAAAAGTCGGAAGTTTCTCTACACTTTTGACGACAGCGAAAACAGATTCCGCACATACAAATATTTGTTTATATTTGCATGGCTATTATATGAATAAAATTAATGTTTATATAATTATGAAAACTGTCTACAACATTAATAATTAAAAAAACGTACCTGCAAGTAAAAGGAACAAGAGGAATTCACAATGATAAGATTATAAATAATTTTAATAAAAAATTCAGATTTAACAAAGAATGATTACAGGTTTTCTAAGAATTATCAGATCTAAACCTCTTTATATTCAACCAACTTAAATACAATTAAATACTTATAAAAAAAAAACTAAACGCCCGCATTGTACCAATTAAGTTATTTCAAATAATGAACAATTGCTGCGTAAGTGTAAATTAAGTAGTTAAAATTGACAGCGGGACAATTTGACACTGACAGGCGTCCACTCATCTTTTTCCACTCAGTGATGATTACATACAATCTCACGTAAAACCGGATGAACGAAAAGTTGTTTTCAAGCTCATCACACTTTGAGGATCCGTTTCCATAGCAACCTAACATAATAAATAACGATCTCGTACAAAGTCATGGATTTCCATCATATTTTATTTAAACAAAAAAGAAAGCGTTTCAGGCAAGCGTCTTCGCCTTCGCGAAATTAAAAAAAAATAGTTATAAATATAGTCGATGTTATTCAGTAATAATGTAACTTTCTCATAGCAAAAGAAGTTTCCAAATTAGTCAAGTAGTTTTTGAGTTTATTCGTTACATACAAAACCAGAAATCTATCCTCTTTTTGATATTAGTATAGACTACGGTTTACTTACGGTATTTAGCTGCAAAATTATACAATTTACTTAAAAATTGTTAGCCAACAGTAGGAAAATTCCCTTATAAAATTCTAATTGTTTCACTCGATTACAAAGGAAGAACTTTAACGTTTCCATCGAATCACATGTAAAAGTATTCTTATCTTTGTTCTTTTCAAAGAATTAGAGCGGGATGCCAATACTTTCTGCAGAGGTTGAGACAACAGTTACAGACATGATAGTTTACTTATACCTTGGCACAATTGTGTCAAATCTTTATACATTTATGCGTACCGGCCGCGACCACTCGAATGCATGCATACTTAATGAAGTTTTAACCCCTTCGTACACAAGGCAACGCGAATATTCGGTACTAATATCCTTACGCGCGCTTCCTATACACAACTTTGAATCTTTGAAGACAGTCGTCTATTCATTCATCCTACGTGTCAACTGTAAAGATTTGCTCTATCTTGGACACCTTTTCTCACGACGATCTTGATAATCAAGTTGCGAGAGACTGGCTTTAGCGATAGAAATGTCGGCGATGCGTGCTGTGTACCAACATCTATGACTTTGTATTCGATCGTATCGCTTAACGACTAATATTGCCGGGTTTCGAACATTTACGTTGCCTTGTGTGCGAAGGGCTTTAAACAATACTGTCCCAGCAAACATCGAAACAGAGTAAAAATAATTTTAAAGGATATAGGGAGAAAACAAATTCTGCCAGAAGTTTTAACATTAAATCATAATAATCTTACTTCTTACTAATATAATAAATGCGAAATTTGGCATAGATGTAGAATATGGTCTGGAAGAATACATATGCTTTTTTTATCATTCCGCGCGGACGGAGTCGCGGTCGACAGCTAGTCATAATAATAAATCTACCATTGAAAAAGGTTTTACAAATTGAAGACAGGCGTCGAGTGGAAGCAATTCCGCGTTTCGTCTGATGAGTGTGCGTCCCGGAGCCCTAATTTAGTCCTCTTTTCCTTCCCACCCTTTTTCTTATAAGGAAAGGATGGGAAATAGAAGTGGACTTTTTGGATGAGAGGATGCATAGCAAGGGAAAATATTTTCTTTCTGTGCATCCTCTCCTCCGTCGATCAAAAGCAGGTAACACATATGGCCCATAGACATACGCAATTGGCGTATGTCTATGGGCAACGGTCTCTTCGCTATTTGAGCGATTTCAGGTGACCGCTCGCTCGTTTGTCATCTTATGATATAAAAAAAAAT